AGCAGTACTCCCAAAACTGCCTTAAAATTACCACCTGGCAAGTGGGGAAACACTCCCTCGAAAAGGCCTGATAGGGCTGCAACAGGTGTTTTAGAAACCAACAAAAATAGGTTCCTTTGGACTGTTGCCACCAGGTGGCATAAGAATGGTTGTCGCAGTATGCTGGCCCATTCTTACAAATAGCGCTGCTCCTGAAGACTGCAAGTGCCAACCTGTCAGGTGAGAAAAATAGTTTTGTAGGAAGAGCTGTTGAAGGGGACAATGTGCAGGCTTCTGGTGTTAGTCAGTGTTACTGTCAGCAAATGCAGAATGGGCAATACACACAGGCAGACTTCATCTGTTCTCTGGCATCCTCTGGTTAGTTTGGATAACCTCTACTTCTAATGCAATTTCCCAGTTAGGGTTGTTACTGCTGGTGATGCTGCTTCCAGTCATATCCACCTACACAGTATGTCTTTTGTTTTAAACTGTTCCTTCTGGTCGAACCAGACAGAATTAATTAATGGTATGTGTGCAAGATACCCTTTTGCTAAGCATGTCTCATGTACCCAGGCCTTTACATTTACAATCAGTTATATTACTGACATGTTAAACTGATTTGTAGCATTCTGCTTACCACATGTCAGGGGTTCTTTTGCTGTTTGAGAATATTCTCTCTCTTGTTTGGGGGCAGCTTTCCTTTCTCAGACTAAGGTAACTCTTCTTCCCCAATTTCTCTTCTCCGCTCAGTACACACAAACCCTTGACCATATGGGATTCATTTCAAATGTTACTCCTGATCTTCCAGTAGGCTGCTGTTCAGCCATGCACAACATTCTGTCCCTGCAAAAACCAAGGTTCCCTTGAAATCTTCTAAATCCTCTTAAAATTCAGCACAGAATACTTTTTTACATTTGAATAGCAGTGCTCTGGAAATAGGGTTGTAAAATGAACAGGCTAACTGATCCCTTGTGTTAACTTCACAAATGATACTGGATTATACATTGTTTGTCATTTTTCATGTACATAACTTCACTGACACCACATCTCTGGAGTACTCTGCCTCAGAAGCAGTTAATTAAACCAATCTGAAAAGAGCTGAGAAAACAGCAATTGTGATAGCATTTGTATGAAACACTACACATACTCTCCTTCAATCTGGGTTACAATAGAAGGTGAGACAGTACTAGGCATGTTGTCTTCCCTAGAGAATGAAACAAAACTAGCAAAACAGGCTCATTCAGTAACTCTGAGATTAAGGAAAAAAACATATCTAGGGGAAAAATGTCAGTTAACAAGTTATGGGGAAGTAATCTTGTCCACTAAGTAGAACAGCAGTTTGTAAATTGGGAGGATATTTCTTTATAATTGGATTATTAGATGGGTCTAAGGTATCTGATGTCTAATTTAGAACAATGATACATCCTATTAAGGAAGTGTCTCCATTCATTTTCTTTTCTAGATTTGGCCTTAGTATGATGTTCTAGAAAAATTAAAGGGGCCCCAGCTACTTAATTTAGGTCCAAAATTTGTTTTTTTAATGTAAAAAAAAAACGATTTACAAAACCTAATGTGAACATACTTTTTTAAAATAATGAAAATATTTATCAGTTAAACAATTAAAGCAGGATTTTATGAAGGGAGGAGGAGTTTGGGAGCAAATTAATTATTACCCTGGGCTTCTGTGAACCCAAACATAAGAGCATTGGATTAGTGCCTGAGAATCAGAAAGTGGAACCACCCACTCAGAAAGATTTGCTTATCTTTTTTCTTTTAGGCAGACTTCTTGTTCCGGTGCTGGTCAACAGTGATAGTGATGTCAGTAATCCATTGCATGCAGGGGTGTCTGAGGGTGAGCAGGAAATGAAGCAGGTTTAGAGAATAACTTCAGCTGCCTATAAATGAACATCAAAATTCAGGTTAAACAAAATAAGAATATAATTTTAATTTTTTTCTTCTGATCGAGTATTCATCTTCTTTTACTAATGACTGAAGCATCTTACTAACAAAATCAATCTGTTCACCTTTTAAAAAAGATAAAATAAATGTTATTACAAATCCTTGTTCTTGGGCTCTGATGATTTACTCTGAGCTTCATTATAGAGGCAATTGTATTGCTGAAAAGTTCAAATGGAAATGCTAGTTTTGTAGCCAAAGTTTTCAAACTTGGGTGCCTAAATGAGAACACCAAATTCCATAATTGGGCAGTCAAACAGGATCCTGTGGAAGCATATTAAATACTCATTTTAGAGGCAGAATGGAAATAAACATAGAAATAGTCTCTCAAATATAGGTGCCCAAGTTTCAAAATTGAGTTCAAAGTTTGAATGTTATCGCTGTGAGTAATCCTATAACTAAGTAACAAGGACTAAGGTAATATCAGTATTTACCAGATTAGAATCAACTGGGATAGGTTCTACCAATTTTTCCTTTGACTGACAAGTGAAAGCTGATCTTTAAATAACGGATAGATGGACTGTCACTGTTGGATTGCTATTATATGTCTGGATAGAAGCATACTTTTATTTTTCTCTTTCTAACATTTTTTTTCTTATCAAGTTTGGATGATAAAAGTTGATTAAAGGCCTTTGGAGATGGAGTAGGGAAGTTGCAGAGAAACACTCCTAATCCTTCCTTCTTCTCAAAGCCTTACTTTATTGGAAAGAGGGAATTTTTAATGAGATTTTGTCACTATTGGTACTTCACAGATTATGATATTCCATGGTTATCCAAAATTCATTCTTTCTCCCTGAAAGTGACATTCATATAGAATCTGAATTTTGTTAATTCAAAACAAACTCCAATGATCTGAAAGATTTGGGAGTCCCCGGAGAAATGTGGATAATTATCACTTATCAGTAATAACTGTACATTATTATCTCAGCTTCTGTGAGATAAGAACTGGCAATATAGTAGCCAAAGCACTGGCTTTCAAATGGCAGTGTTATAAATAATACATTACCTGTAAATAAGATTGAAAACCTTTCTGTGGCACAGTGCAAGATGTAACCATGAGGCTGAAGGCTCTTGCAAGCTACCATGCAGTTTTAGGCATGTGAAGAAATTATCATTGAAGGAGTCACTACCAACATTATTTTTTGCTTGAACACTCTTGTTAATGTGCATTTAGGGGGGTGGTGCAGTGCACATGACTTTTGAGTATCAATTGTATTAGATTAAAAATAGGTCTTTATTTCATAACAAGATTTAAAATAATTGCCAAAGCCAAGTCCTTCTACCTTCATATATTTGCCTGTGAATTTTATATTGTGATGAAAAGAGGGTTATGGAATGAAAGCTCATCATCTTTGTAGTTCTAAGATGTTTTTCTAATTACAGTCAGCGCCCATTTCTACCATTTGCAATGCAAATGTTTCTTATTGTGCATATGAGTAATATGTGGCATGGTCTCTAGGCCAGTCCTGTTTGTCAGACCAAGAAACGCGTTATAATCTGATAAAGCAACAAACCCATTTTCTGTTCTCAGAGGCCATATGCTCTGGGTAAATGAGGTTGGATCGTCTTAGTTTAAAAAAAAAAAATCATCTGATCAGCTAAACACAGATAGATACCACTGCCAAGGAAATGAAATATAATTTGTCTTTGCGGGGTCTGTCTGTAAACTCTGCCAGTGATGGAAAATAATCTATTTTAGGGTTTTATTCTGCTGCCCATCTGCTGAGTATCTGAGCACCTTATGTGTAAGATCAATAGCAATAATAATACTAGCTCTTACTTATCATTTTTCATCTATTTATCTTGGAGCACTGTACAAAAGAGGTCAATATCATTATCCTCATTTTGCAGATGGAGCAAACTGAGACAAAACAGAGGTATCCTGATGTGCTCAAGGTCACTCAACCTGCCAATGGCAGAGCCAGGAATAGAACCAGGTCTCCTGACTTCCGGTCTAGTGCTATATCCATTATACAACACTGTCTTGTAGTGCCCAAAAGTGAAGTCCCAAGTGGACTTCATGGACTCATTTCTCCCTTTCAAGGGTCAAAATTCTCTTAGGAGTAAGGTTTTTTTTGTGGGGGTGGAGGGTCATCAGAATTTGGGAATCAATGTGGTGTTTGAATTGCGAGTTTCATTTGTGCGGGAAAAATCATTTACAACATTTTTTTTTTAATGTTTCCTGAAGATGGTCAGATTGTGGATTCATTTGATCTCCTCTGGAAGATTGTTGCATAGTTGTATCCACTCTGTAATGGTGGTTTTATAGCAGCTTGAAAGAAGGAACTTGGAGTGATGCAGAGCTGTATAAAATATTAAAGAAGTACATTTTCTTTCTTGGGATGATATTGTGTAGTCAGATACACCCACAGCCCTGCAAACATAGGGACCTCTGTTCACACCAAAATGTAGTAGTAAAGGAATAGCAGTATTTCTAGCAGAAATATAGGATCCTCTGCTCTCTATTTCTCACATTCTGCTGATTACTCTAGTTTGCAGTTTCCCAGCTTGTTATTAACCTATTCTGTACCACGATTGATGCTTCCCCTTTGTCCACCTCCACAGCCTGGGCCAACATGCTTTTCTTCCAAGCTCCAGGAGAGGTAACAAGATATTAGATGACTAACTGCCTCTGTTTCTACCAGATTGTGTCCAATTGTCCAGATCGCTCTTGGTCCTTGAATGACTTCATAATACTTTGCCTCTGTGCTGCAGAGCCGTTTTGTCTTACGTTTACTGAGGCAAAATATTTTGAATCCAAGCAAAGATATTGTTAAACTTGAACAAGTAAAGTCACAGGTTGTTATGATGCTTTGCTCCATGTGTTGACCACATAGGGCAGCCCAGAGGGTCACATGGCACCTCAGTGCTGGAAGCTGAATGTAGTTCTTTAGTCTGGTCACTAGTGTCTCAGACTAATGTGTTTCTCTCAGGTGTTGTCAAGAATGATCTCTAGCCACTAGATAATAGTGACCGCAATATAGTTCTTCATCCTTGGACGTGGAATCATAAAACAATGACACTAAACTTTGGAGAAAAAAAAATTTTTAAGTGGAAACTTATTGAAAAAGAATCTAAAATCAAACATAAATAGATTAAAATCCTTGGATTTAGCATGGAAACTACGATATCTTTGCAGAGTTCCAGAAGGAATGCCTAGCCCTAAACAAAAAAGGAAGCTGCAAGGCAAAGACATCACTAGAATGCCTAAGTGGCAAGGTTCAAGAGGTAACTCAAGCCCAACAGTTACCCTTCAGATAATGGAAAACCAATAGGAAAGAGCATAGACTATTGCAGGTAAAATGTAAGATGGAAACTGGAAGGGTTAAGAGAGAACAATTAACCGAAGACATGAAAACCAATTAGAATAAATTGGCTCTGGACAAAAGACTAGAGGTTGAGGATAGTTCCCTTGATTACAAGTCTTCTGAGGGAGCTGTTCTCCAAGGAAAGGGTTCCTCCTACTACTTTCCCACCTTTTGTTGCAGGACTCTCTGTGGGAACAGTATATAAATCTCAGTAATTCCAGCTCCTGAATGTTACTAATCCCAAATCTCCCAATGGAGCCTCTACCATGATTTCTTCTTTTACGTTTGCAGTGTTTGAGCTGCAGAGAGCAAACACAATGTTTTAGGGTCCCAGTCTGATCTGCTCCATTAGGCAAAACTGATATGCTCCGTCAGGCAAAATCACCTGGATATTCAATATTGATGTAGGGTCTAGGACTGCTTTTAGCTATCTTCATTACAAAAAGGGCATCTGCTCCATTGCTTTAGCTTTCACAGGTCTTTAATTGAGGATGCTACATTTTGTTTGTTCGGAGATCTTCTACTAAATCATCTTGCCCATTTCCTGGCTCCAACAGATGAAACTTTCCCTGGCATTTGTGGTGAGTGTGGAGTTAACTCTGTTCCTGTTGTGCCTTTTGATGTAAAACACATTCCACTAGCATAAGACACTTGTTATAAACCTTTATGCTGTACTCTTTAAAATAAGTTGTGTATCTTTTTGTAATACGCACGATTGTAATCTGTTATCTTCAGTACTGTATATTTCCTCCCTAGGATGTTTATGGAAAAGAAATACTGACAGTTTTTCCTATAAACATGTTAAAAATATGTGTAGTCACTAGGCAAGAAATGACCTTGTTAATTTCAACATCCAATAAAATATTGGTGGTAGGATCAAGCAGTTCTTAGGGAAATCTGATTAGGGAAAATGGAATATTTTCAAGATAAGAGGCTACAAACAGTGGAATATGAAAATATAGTAGCTAAGTGACCTTTTAAGGTACTTACCCCTCCTTTTGTGCTAAAAGTGAGTTGGGAGAATGGTTAATATCCCCAGTGGTATGCACATGCAAAGTATTCTGGTGTGTGTTGCTTTTGGAGTAGTAGAGAAGGGAATTCTTTGCAGTTAATATAGCTGGAGCGTTCAAGTAAAAAAATATTTGGCACCAAGAGCTATTCCAAAGCTAAAAGTTGAGAGGTTTATTAATGGATAATACAGTCTTCTGTTAGGTCTGTATTTCCCATCATGAATAATTAAAGATTTTTATTTTGGGGCTGGTTGGGGCTCAATTCTGCTTGTGGTACATCAACTGGCAGAAAAATTAAACTGTTTCCTTTTCAGAAGAAATAGAGGCCAGTTGGTTGCTTCATGAAACGCTTGTTTTGATTGTTTTCATCTATTGCCGTGTCTGTCAGAAAGACACTGAGGTGGCTGTTGCTATTATAAGCCATGCTTTCCTTTTTGTTCAGTCTTTTTAAAAACACTTTTTTAGGGGGTTGGGGATTAATGGAAGCTAGGGCCAGTGAAAGGTGTTGAACTGACAACCCATGGAGACTGCAGTTCTCCAGCTGCAGGACAGATATAGTATGGGAGGCTTTCTACCCTCAGCATTCCTCAAATCTGAGCTGGATGTATAGACTCACCTCTAGAAGGTATTTTGGTATCTATGTCCATTAAATCATTAGTTGTTAATGTTAACTGCCCACTGCACCTTGAATAGTCTCTTGCAACATGTTAACTCATTATTTGTTCCACCCTTGTATTAGCTGTGACACTCTGAGTACCTTTCCCAGACCTGAAGACGAGCTTTGCGTAAGCTCAAAAGCTTGTTTCCTTCACTGGCACTAGTTGGTCCAGTAAAAGATATTACCTCACCCACCTTGTCTCTCTAATATCCTGGGACCAGCATGGCTACAACAAGGCTGAGACTGCCAACGAGATTGCTAGTTTTGGTGATTTTTTAATTTTTTTATAATGTTTAAATTCTATTCTCTGTGGGTTCTTATGCTGTGTCCATCACTGTAGTGTCTGATGGGATCCCCCGGAGATCAGGAGTTAGACCACCAAACTCACTTCACATAGCCTGCTAAGTAACCATTGATGGTGGTTGAAACTCTCCTACAGGAATAATGTTTCAGTGGTTAGGATGCTAACTTGGGAAACCTAGCTTCAATTACCTGTTCAGCCACAGACTCCCTATATGATCTTGGGCAAGACACTTAGCCTCTCTGATCCTCTGTTTCCTCTGTGTAAAATCGGGACAATAGCACTGCCCTTCCTCACAGGGATATCATGAGGATACACACAGTAAAGATTGTGAAGTGCTCAGATTCTTTGGTAATGGGAGGCCATATAAGTATTGTAGTACATAGCTAAGTTGAGAGTGCTGGTGTATCTGACATTGGGGGTGCTGATGGTTGCAGTTTTTTTTTAAAAAGCTACTGTAGACATACGTGGACACTATTTATTAGGGATAGCTGGTCCAAAATTAGGATTTTTTTGGTCAGGTGGCAGAGGGTAAAGTCAATTCTCTCACTCCCTTTCAGATAAATGATTTGGTCATATTATTACTATTAATTTATTTTTTTAAATAACTCAGTGCTGGTATCTGTTACCTGTGAGCAGCCTGGCTTTGATAAATAAGTGACATCAGATAAGGAAGCAGATCACTGTTAATGTAGAAGCTTAAAAACAAGAGACACTTGAAGTGCTAGGTTTTGAAGGACTACTGCAGACGGGATCCGAGAATGGAGAAAAGACTCCAGGAACTCATGCTCCTTCAACCAGAAAGGGTAGGAATGTGGGGTGGAAGTAGATGGTAGCTCATTACAAAGAGCTAAATTGTTGTGGGAGAGGCTACTGGTAGCCTGTTTTCCTGTGAAATGGAAATAAAAACTGCTTAATAATACAGTTCACAGGTTGGTTATACTAAAAACTGCAGAGTTTCTTTATTTTACTTTCTGACAGACTGAGAGCAGTGGTGATGGGTTTTGAAGGGAATTCAGTCCCCAGGCTGGAGGGATGATGAGGACACCCTGTGGATGTGTTGGAAATGAGGCTAGAATGCCAATGTGAGAGAAAGATAAGACCTGTAAGCAAAGGTCCTAATATTGGAGTGATGCTTGCTGCTTTGAGCAGTCCTGTTCGTGACAAAATACCAGTGTCCGGCCCAGAGTAATAACGTAAAAACCAGCTGCAAACTTAAGTGAGAATAATAGGATAACAAAGTGTATGTTTCATGCACTGCTAGAAATCTAAAAAGTTGTTTAAGCTGTGGTGTTTTTCCACTTGCAGAATGTACACAAGTCTTTTTAAAGGAGCAAAAGACCACAGCGAGAAAACAAAGTGTAGAGTGGTGGCAAAAGAGGAGGATTCAGTGCTGCCTGCTGTCTTCCCTGTTCCCTCCCTTACTAATTCCCCCCCCACACTGCACAGAAGAGAGCACAGTATGTCCACCTGGTTGGCCTCGCTTTTCTGCTACATAAGATGGGCCTTTATTATCCACATCATGCTGCATCGGTCTAAATTCACAACAGTGTGAGACTCAATTCACAGGAAAACTTCGTCAACGTGTTTGTGGTTAGAATGCTAGATTTGTAGCTCGTTTTTCGGGGTTAATATTTTACATGAGTTGGTAGAACTGCACCAGATGCCTTCAGGTAAGGCACAATGTGCAGAAAGCCCTGCTATAAGCATCTGAAGCTACTGCACTAACACACAGCAGAGCCAAAACTGCTTTGAAAGATGCAAGATGATTAAATGACTTGACAACATTATTGTAAACAATGACGGGATTACTACAGCACAGTCCAACCAATAAGAGAACAGCTTTCAGAACACAACTCTGTAAACAGCCAATTGCAATTTAGCGGCAGGTGAACCAATAGCTAATTGGAATTCAGCTGGGAAATGACAGCTCTGCTGCTGAAAAGAACTAAGCCAATCAAACACTGAATTGGGCAGCGTATGAAAATCAGCATTTTATTCAGCCAGTGACGGGTTCTCCTGCTCTGAGTCTGACAGGAGATTTCTTGGCACTGCTGGGCAGACTGCATTCCTCCAGATATATGTGCATCTGTGAGCTTGACTCACAGCACAATAATAATCATCCCTCTAATGATTCACTTCCCAATAATAACAGTGTCCTGAATTATTTGTACAAAGCAGGACAATTATGTCTCTCTGTCAGCCCTGTGATTGTCTGCAGCTGGTAGGGAAAGTATCCAGATAATTTGGGTCTTGTCTCTCATTTAGCATTGCCACGGCTGTCTGCCCGGCAGACCTGGTTACAAGAGCCAGAGGGATGGTGGTAGTCACAGGGCAGAACAAAGCCAGTGGAAATCTGGACGATGCCATGTCGAGTTCAGATGCAGAGGATGATTTCCAAGACCCTGCCACTCCTACTGCAACTCAGGCAGGGCACTTGCTGCCTCAGCAGGTAAGAGTGGTGTAAGACTGTTCTCCTCTGAGCTGGTGAGGTGCTTACATTTGAGCCTCCATTGTACAGTATCAGGGAATCCATTATTTCTCATGCTGAAGTCTCAAGAGTTTCTAGTTTAATTTCTATTGCCAACTAGCTTGGTGAAGGAAACTGAACTCCTTTTTTGCATGATAGCCGGGCGTATTACCCGCGAAACCCATACCCTCCCCTCATCCACATTAGGATTTATCTGCTGTCTTCTACCCTAGAAAGAGAAGTGCTTGCTGCCTTATTGTAAATATAGGTAATTCTTACCCTCTAAACTCAGCACAACTCTTCCTTGACCTATATCTGCCAAAAGTTGTTACCCGCTCATTTCTTTCTCTGAACTGCTTCCTTCATTACCTTGTTTCACTCTTGGGTTATTGCCTTTCATGCAGCGGCTCTATGCTTGGAACAGTCTCCTCCTTCCTTTGTGCCAGGAGGTTCCCTCTCCCTATTCCTCCGCTCTTTATGAAACCTTCAGACTTTGATCTCCTCGCAGACTGTGTCTTTGTGCCATCTTGGATCTGTAATCTTATCCTGTGTTTCGTAGAGATTCTCCTCTGTGTGGGTCAAGGGATCTTGTCATATACATGTTTGTGAAGCACCACAGAATAACTTTTAAATAGTGATATGATTGCTTTTCCAGTTCCCAGAAGTTGTTCCGCTTAATGTAGGAGGCATGTATTTCACTACCAGGCTGTCAACACTAAGACGCTGTGAAGATACCATGTTGGCTGCTATGTTTAGTGGAAGACACTACATTCCAACAGATGCTCAAGGCAGATATTTTATTGACAGAGATGGAACTTATTTTGGGTATGTGCATTGTCCTTATTACTCTAATTTTGAAACTGTTACTGTGTTAGGAATCATTAATTTTAAGAATGCAAATGAATTCTTGCCTGTCTTCTGATTCAATCCCATTTGAATTGCATCTTTTTATCAAAGATTGGTGTGATTAACATGCAACTACAGTTTTTAAAACTTCTTCCAGAAAACTGTCAGATTTCTTGGTATGTTGTCGTGCAAAAAACCCCATTTAAAAACTAATTATTGTAACTCACTTTACAAAAAAACCTGAACAATGTTTTAGTCCTCAGCAGAAGTGTGTGTACATACAAACACACAAAAAAGCTCCATCCAGGGAGCCAAGTTGCTTGTACATTAAAAGTTGAGTATTTGACACCATTTCTTGTAATAACATGATTGTGGCCTCTTTTTTGTGATTTTTGTTGGTATTATCTTGTTGTTTTTACCCTAAAAGGGGATGGCAGTGATGTTCCTAGGATATTTGATAAAGTCCTCTTTTTGGTTGTTATGATTTTCAAATGTTTTATGGAACATTTGTAGAGATTCGTCCAAGTTTAGAGTATAACAGTGCTGTTAAGGAAAACACAATGCTAGTTGTCTGACTAATTTACAAGCTTGACTTCAGTGTAAAATATTCTTCCCTGTTAATCATACTATAATACTTAGAGGGGCCAAATCTTGTTTTGGATAAAATTGCAAATTTTTATCTTTTTTTCTTCCTCTTTTCTGTTGTCTGCGTTTTTATTTGCCTGAATTTCACATATCTGAATTTCAGGTATATGTAAATTCAGGTGAACAGATTAACACTACATGCTGATGAAATGTGTGGCACTGTTTCAAGCCTGCAGATATTTATTCACCTCCAAAATTGCCAGATTTTCTCTGAAAGAGAATTTGTTGTTTGAAATCTGGCCCAGCTCTAATTATAATGCACTTTAGAAAGCTGAAGGTTTAGGTAAAATCTATGCCTTTCGGGGATTTTCACTTTCCAACAAATAAATTCTGCAAAATGTAGTAGGATTAATCTTTGTTTTGCACGTGGACCAGCTATTCCCTGGACCAGTGAGAAAGTAAGCATAATAATTTTTTATTGTTTTAAAAAGACCTGTTTACATATTATAGGTGGAAAAACAATGCAGGGGTCAAAGAACTTCTTTTAAATTGCTGATGTCTGGTAGTGTTATATTCAGAGCTCTGTTATAATCCTTCTAAAGGTCTCAAACAAGATAGTAGCTTTCTTTTTATTATTTATTTATTTATTTTGAGCATGATTCTGCTAATATTTAGTTCCACTTGTTGGCAGTAATTGCTACTCCAAATAATAAGCTTTTTCATGATCAGATCTTTGCTTGTAGAAATATATATTGGACATTCTAACCTCATTTCCAAAATACTTTTCCCAGAGGGATGTTCTTCATCTATCCAGTTGAGGACCTAATTCTCTTCAAAGCCAGTCAGTGCTGTTCCTTAATCCACCACAAAGTGCAATCTATATCAAGACAGAATTTCCTAGTATGATTAAGCTGATTTGTTTATTTGAAAACAAGTGTTGGCATTTGTGAGTTTCTTATTGCTGGCAACTGTCTTATTGGAAATTGAGTTAATTGTGATATACACTATCGAACCAAACCAGCACTTTATATATTTCCTGCAACATTATAAAGAAGGGCCAAGTAGCAGGTGTGTTCTTTGTTTTAGGTCATATGTTCACTAATAGGATTAATTAGTGAATGTTTGTAAAGTGGTTTTTCCATCTTCAAAGCATTCTGATCTAAACCATTGTTAAACACATTCAAATGAAACACTCTTTCTGTTGTCAGAATAATTGCAGAAGGCCCTAATCCTGTAAAGACAACTCCACAGCCAGACATTACAACCCCACCTGGAGCTCTTCAATGTTAGTGAGGTTTTCAGTGGGCCGAGGGATCTGCCCACATAGTTCTTTAGCAAAATCGGGTACTTAATGAATACAATTATCACTGTGAAAAGAAAAGGAGTACTTGTGGCACCTTAGAGACTAACAAATTTATTTGAGCATAAGCTTTCGTGGGCTACAAAAAAACTTCAAAAACAGACTCCACTGAGAGACTGCTGAATTGGAATTGGGGTGGGATCTGAGTTACTCAGGAAAGAAATTTCTGTAGTATCTGGCTGATGAATTTTGCCCATATGCTCAGGGTTTAGCTGATCGCCATTTTTGGGGTCGGGAAGGAATTTTCCTCTAGGGCAGATTGGAAGGAGGCCCTGGAGGTTTTTCACCTTCCTCTGTAGCATGAGGCACGGGTCACTTGTTGCAGGATTCTCTGCTCCTTGAAGTCTTTAAACCATGATTTGAGGACTTCAATAGCTCAGATATAGGTGAGAGGTTTTTTGCAGGAGTGGATGGGTGAGATTCTGTGGCCTGTGTTGTGCAGGAGGTCAGACTAGATGATCATAATGGACCCTTCTGAGCTTAGTATCTATGAATCTATTTCCCCATGTTTATTCCCCCTCCTCCCCCTCAGATGTTCTTGTCAACTGCTGGAAATGGCCCACCTTGATTATCACTACAAAAGGTCCTGTCCTGTCCCGCCCCCGCTCTCCTGCTGGTAATAGCTCACCTTACCTGATCACTCTGGTTACAGTGTGTATGGTAACACCCATTGTTTCATGTTCTCTGTGTATATAATCTCCCCACTGTATTTTCCACTGAATGCATCCGATGAAGTGAGCTGTAGCTCACGAAAGCTTATGCTCAAATAAATTTGTTAGTCTCTAAGGTGCCACAAGTCCTCCTTTTCTTTTTGCGGATACAGACTAACACGGCTGCTACTCTGAAAATTATCACTGTGTTGTCAGTGAGAGACTATAATCTGTGTCCTGCTTCAGTTTAAGAGATTAAACCATCCTGAATGTTTTGTTTGCTGTGTTTTTAAACTGGGATCCCAACACTGCTAGCTTCACATACATCACATTTTCCCGCTGGAGGCTCAAAAATGCCAAATGCAACTCAAAATGTGCATTTGAAAATAGAGTTCACAGTTCATATAAGAATGAGAGCTGCTGCTTACCTTCTGAATTTGAAAATTGCTGGACTGAGTAAAATGGTGTCTCCATTTCATGTCAGATTAACAATTAAGTTCTTTTTTTTCCCAAAAATTTTTTGAAGACTTGTTATTGAATAATATTTTTCCCCCCTTCTGTTTAGAGACATACTTAACTTTCTGCGATCTGGTGACCTGCCTCCGAGAGAACGGGTGAGGTCAGTTTACAAGGAAGCTCAATATTATTCCATAGGACCATTGCTGGACAATCTAGAGGAAGTCCAGCCTCTTAAAGGAGAAAAAGTTAGACAAGCTTTCTTGGGCTTAATGCCATATTACAAAGGTAAACTAAAGAATATTGACAATGTATATTGTATCTTAGTATGTATAGTATAAATAATGCTCAGAAGACTGAGTTTACTTTCTTCCTGTTCATGAAAACCCCCTTTGCGTATTTACCTTAGAACACTTAACACTATTAGAAAGTCCTACGGTTCTGATGCTAGTTCCTCTACACTGGAGTAATTTTGACCCAGATCCTCAAACTTATTTAGGCTTCTGATTTCCATTTCCAAGCTTCAGTTTTTGGCTTTGCTTTTGGGTAGTTACGCTCTAACATCCTAGCTCTTGACATCTTTGAAGCCCCCACACAGCACTTCCACCTGCATCATTCAAGGTGATGAGTGTTTTTCCTTAGACTTGAATGAGAGCAGGATCAAGCCCATAAAGTGTGAGAAGAGATTCTTGAACAAAACTATTTCTTTGAATCTGCATTGGTGGTTCTCTTGAGGCCTGCATCTCTTTCCTTGCATAAGAGGTTGTGCGTTCAAGGTCTTTAGGAAATGTTTCAACAGCTATTTATTATTTCATGTATTGTGCCTAAATGGGCTAAATACTTTATGGACATACAATAAACAGGCCCCTGCCTCAAAGAGCTTACAGACGACAATCAATTTTTTTGAGACAATAGCAAAACTACTGTGTTTTGCATTGTTCCTTGTAGACACATAATAACATTACCAACAGATCTTATCTGAACACAGCTTATATTAAAAATACGCTAGTCTGAGACCAGCCTTGAACTGAAGAGAATAATGCCATACATGTGACTTCACACCTAACTTAAAGACCAAAAAACCGGAGTTTTCTCAGTCTTGTGATTCTTTGGTTATTTCACAACTTGAACTTTTGGCATACTGCTCAAGCAGTCGTCATAAAGCTTGCAATCATAAGGTTGTGTATAACTGGAATTTAAAGTAGGGGTATATACATGCACACATAAGATATAAAATCAATATCACAGACACTAAACTCTCAATATGAATATGGATAATTTCATTATTGTAGGCCATATCTAACTGCAAGCAACCCTTGAGTATATCTTTTGTTGCCTCTGGCATTGTTTTAAGAATAATTCATGCCACTTTGATGCAGTAATTAGATTCCACATGAAAACATTGTGTTCTGTTCCTCGCATGACATTCACTGTTTGTAACTTTTGTTGTTGTTTAGAACACTTGGAACGGATAATTGAAATAGCTAAGCTTAGAGCCATGCAGAGAAAAGCAAGATTTGCAAAGTTGAAGATCTGTGTTTTCAAGGAAGAAATGCCCATCACCCCATATGAGTGTCCACTTTTCAACTCTCTACGTTTTGAAAGAAGTGAAAGTGAGACAAAACTGTTTGAACATCACTGTGAAGTAGATGTATCTTTTGGCCCCTGGGAGGCTGTAGCTGATGTATACGATCTTCTGCATTGTATTGTGACAGACCTGTCAGACAAGGGAATTGCTGTGGATCATCAGTGCATTGGTGTGTGTGATAAACATCTGATAAACCATTATTACTGCAAGCGCCCCATCTATGAATTCAAGATTACTTGGTGGTGAGTTATTCTTTTCAGAAAGTGCATAAAAAGTCTTTTCTAGACAACAATTGCTTTTAATATTATCTTTTGCAATATGTCTCTGGAAATGCATTGCTGCTGAGATGCACTGGAATTGACGTGCTGAAATGTTGGCTAATGCTTAGCTGTTCAGCAAATGGGAACCTGTTACATGATAATGTCTTGAAAAAACGAGCCTGAAACAAGATTCTTGGCTCAGGTATCTTAACTTGACACCTTCTGAAAGGTCCCCACCTGCTTGGTGCCTTTTCTGTAACAGCAGGGTCTGAAAAGTGGACAGTGCAACTTTCACTCTCTTTGGAGCAAAGTCATGGCTCCTGGTGGTGCTAGCACCATTTGAGAACATCTGTGGCTTCAATTTTACCAGCTGGTGTAATGGTTTTAGTCACTTCTGCTAGATTGATCACTCTATAAAGCCAAATACCACTCCGGTACAAAGATATTGATAATGCAACTCAGAAATACCTGGTAGTTTAAATAAATAAGGGAAAAATGTCCTAAATGTTAATGTTGGTTGTGATTATTTCAGTTTTTCAAAAAATAGCTTTATTGAGACTCTGCATTACAAATATGTATTATATAGTTCAATTATTTCCATTTTTATGACCAGAAGAACATCTAACAAATTCAGGCTACATTCCTTAATACATTTAGGACAAATTACAATTCACAGAAAGCCTGTTCTCAGCATTAGAAATTCTAAATGTTTATTACACCTACAAAAAAGAAGCTGTATACAGACGGGTCTTTTGGAAAATGAGAGAACCCTACTGGTATGCCCCAATTAGCAAAGATAAAATGGGCACTCAAATATATGAATTACTGTAAACTTAACTCTTCCAGATCCAATGATAATTCCACATGATTCTGAAATGGAAGCTGGATGGTGAGACTTTATAAGCCAAGCCCTGAAAAAAAAATTAAGTTACATGATGAATATCCCTGTTTGTAGCAATAAGAAGTGTAATTGTTGACTTTGTAATTAATCTTTAAAGATTTCTCCGGCTACCAGCTAATGTGTCTCTGTAGCAGATTTCCTTTTAGACTGAAAGAGGCTATCCCAGGATCATCTTTCTTCCCTGAAAGTGATAGTTGAAATACCGAAATTTATAAATGTCTCTCTTGAAAGCTCAAATACATCATTTTATCCAAAATGTAGGAATATATTTAAATCCTGGAAATATTACTATTAATATGGAGTATCTCAAATCATCTCCACTGTTTCAGGAAAGTCACTTGGGTTGGCCTCAAAATTTAATCTTGGAAATATTTATGTAAATTGTAGGCTGCTGTGTTACATTTCATTGGGTTGATTAATCTAATTTGTTGACCAGAAAGATCTTTGGGAAGGCAACTTGCATGTAAAATGTTTATCAAGAATTTCAGTAAGAGTCTTTGAATAGCATGTTCTGAACAAAAAAAATTGATTAGCCCTCATCCATAATGTTTAATTTAAGAGATTACTGTAATCTCTTCTTTATAAGGCTGTACTTGGGGGGCTCACGACTTTGTATCTTTGTAAAGGAACAGTGTCAAGTGCTCGGGTTTAGGACTAGAATTTAGGTTTTGGAAAGGAAAAGGGGGAAGGGAGATAAACAGATTTTGTCCCTTTTTTTTTTTTTAATTTAGTTGAATCTTTTTTTAAATGTTAGGATTTCCCTTCAGTCTGAGAAAAACAACACCAACCTATTAGTGCATGAGAAACTGAAACAATCTAGAAATGGCAAATGAAACTAACCAAGGTAGTTCACTAAGGCCTGATCTACACTGCAGAGGTAGGTCGAAGGAAGCCACCTTAAGTTGACCTGTTAATGTATGTGCCTACGCTACCGGGTTCTTTATGCTGACCAAGTCGCCTCTAATGTTGACTTCTGTAATCCACCTCTACGGGAGGCATAGCACTTAATTTGATTTTCATGGGTCGACTTCAAGGTAGTGCAGACGAGGCATTGTGTAATTCGACTTAATTGGCCTCCAGGTGGTGTCCCACAATGCTCATCTGTGACCACTCTGGAGATCATTCTCAATCTGCTGCACTGCAGCCAGGTACCCAGGAAACAGCCCCTCTCTTGCTAAAGCACCGGGAATTTTTGATTTCCCATTTCCTGTTTGATCAGCATTGGGAGCATGCCAGCTTAAGCACAGCTAATCATGGAGATTACATGCCCCAAACGTGCTCCAGCCTGGTCTGCACAGGAGGTGGTGGATCTCATCGCTGTGTGGGGAGAAGTCTGTGCAGGCAGAGTTCTGATCCAGCAGAAGAAACGCTGACATCTATGTAAAGATCGCTCATGGAATGGGGGAGAAGGGCTACATGAGGGACACACAGCAGTGCCGTGTGAAAATAAAAGAACTTCGCCAAGGGAGGCAAACAGTCGTTCTGGTGCTGAACCCCACACATGCCAGTTCTATAATGAGCTGCATGCGATTCTTCGGGGTGACCCTACCAGTTCCCCCACAAGCAACATGGACACATCACAGGTGTGTGAGTCTAGGGACAACAAGGAGGACAATATGGTGGATGAGGAAGAGGAGAATGGGAGACAGGTGAGCGGTGGGTCCATTCTCCCCAAGATCCAGGAAATATTTTTAACCCTGGAGCCCTGTGGGTTGCAGGACATCATGGTGACGCACCATGATGCTGGGGAAGGCACCTCTGGTGAGTATACAGTTACAATCAAAGTCCAGTTAAACTTTAGCGGGCGCACACATTCAGTGGTATTGCATATTTACTCTGAAGAAAAAGTGAGGTGCTGTGGCTCTTTGCTTACAAGAGGCTGCTCCAGCTACGCAAAGGGTGGCCCCCGGAAGTGACTGTTTGTGTGGACTGGGCTAGCCCGGGAATCATCCATGGATATCTCTAGGACACTTTCATGGAGGTACTCTGCAATCCTTTGCAGAAGATTTCTGGGCAGGGCAGTCTTATTTCTTCCACCACAGTAGGACGCTTCCCCATGCAACTCCTGAATTAATTCTGCTGGCATCATTGTGGTACACAGCATAGCAGCATAAAGACTGGGTACATACCCAGACGCTTGCAGCATCTCCTTCCTTTCCGCCTCTGTTACCCTCAGGAGACAGTTAGCACATAGGGTCACCTAGGGGAAACGGTTGAAGTTCTCAGTAAAAGTGCTCTTACAAGGGGTAAAAAAGAGCATGTAGACCTCCTCCCCCAACCCAGATGCCAAATCGCCAAACCACATGGCCGCTAATGTGCCTTTACTGTTCTCGGCATGGATTGACAAGTAGTTTAAGTGGCTGATAGAGGATTGGGGCCCACATGTGAGATTCTGCAATTTGAGAGTGAAAATGCCCCCCACCCCCTGTTTGTATACAGCTTCCCGTGGTGCTACGGGGAAAGGCCATTGTTTGACTAGCTACCTCTGCTTCTGACATGAGCCTGCCATAAACTTCATTAAAAGTGCGGTCACCCGTGACTTGGGGGGCTATTCACCATGGCTGGAACAGCAAAACGCACAGTTATGGATTTTGATTGTTATGGCTTGCACCTAGTGTAATAAAAGTGGGTTTGTTTGTTTTTTTTAATGAAAACAGCTATGCTATGGAAACATTTTATGCATGTACAATGGCTCCTTTCTTTTTTCCCATGACTGACCCCCAGCTGGAAATGTGTCCTTTGGCATGTCATCAACACCTGAAAGCAGACTTTCGCTGATTAGAAGAAGGTGAAAGAGAACACGGGAGGACATGTTCACCGGGATAATGAACACCTCCGGGACAGCTGAGACAGAGCTGAGAGCGTGGAGGATTTAACTATCTGAGAAGTTAGACGTGAACATGAAGAGCAGGAAAGCTTCCAGTGAGCAAGAGTGTGCGGTGCAGGATGAGATGCTTTGGATTATGAGGGACCAATCAGACATGTTGAGGCATCTGGTTGAACTACAGGAACAGAAGCAGGAGGGTACAGTCCCTCTGCAGACTCTGGTGGACAGCCAGCCAATATCGCCTGGCACAGACTCACCCTCCGCCAAGCGTTCCATTAATCATGGGAGAAAAGTCCATTATCCCTTTCACTTACCTCAGGAGGAGGGTACAAGGAACAGAAGGTGCTCGTTCACAGATCTTTAATGGTCTAGAATGCAGTGTTATGTTAAACAGCTAAAAATTTTACTCCTGTTCCAACTTTACAACCCCTTTTCCCCAAGGCTAACTTTTTTTTCTGTTTTCCATCTTTACTTATGTTTGTTAAATAAAGTAAATGGATTTGAGAAATACATGTTCTTTATTGAGTAGAAGGAGTGGATGGGGGGTTGGCTTTGCAGGGACAGTGATGCAAGGCAGATGAAGGTTTGGGAAAGCACAGTGCAGACAAGCAGCTCACATTACTGTGCCTCATTATTGAAACGGATTTTCAAAGCCTCGTGGATACGCAGCACCCCTTGCTGTGCTCTTCTTATTGGTGTGTGGCTCTTCAAAAATGGCTGCCATGCAATCTGCCTCAACTGTCCACCCCTGCGGAAAATTTCCCCTCCTTTTTCCCCCACAGATATTATGGAGCACACAAAAGGCAGCTATAACCATGGGGATGTTCTCTTCACTAAGGTCCAACCTGGTTAGTAAACTTCTCTAGTGCCCTTTTAAACGACCAAAGGCACATTCAACCTCCATTCTGCACTTGCTGAGCCTATAGCTGAACTGTTTCTTACTGCTGTCCAGACAGCCGGTGTATGACTTCATGAGCCATGGGAGAAAGGGGTAGGCTGGCTCCCCCAGGATAACTATAGGCATCTCAGTGTCGGTTTATATACTCTCTGGCAAGGTGGTCTGGTTCCAAGATGGGAATATGCATGCCATCTATCGCCCCATTGCAATTAGGGAACCCCATCACGGCAAAACCATCCACTATGTCCTGCACATTTCCCAGACTCACTACCCTTCGTAGCAGAAGTCGATTAATAGTCCTGCACACGTGGAACACAGCAGCTCCCACGGTTGATTTTACCTACTCCAAATTGTTTCTGCACTGACCGGTAACTGTCTGGCATTGCAAGCTTCCAAACAGCAATCGCCACTTGCTTCTCCACTGTCAGAGCAGCTCTCCTTTTTGTGTTGCTGAACTGCAGGGCAGGGGAAAGCTCTGCACAAAGTTCCTGGAAGGTGGTCTTCTGCATTTGAAAGTTCGGCAGCCACTGCTCGTCGTCCCATACCTGCAAAACGATGCATTTCCACCAGTCGGTGCTTGTTTCACGGGACCAGAAACAGTGCTCAACAGAGTGTAGCTGCTCTGTGACTGCCAGCACCAACTGTGAATTTTTTTTTATTTTATTTTTTTAAAAATTTTCAGTGGCTTGCAGCAGGGCTGCTTGCAGGACATCGCGATGTTCCGCGTGGCGGACCCTACTTCAGCTCTGGAAATACTGCAGGCAGAGGCGTGAGGTTTTTGAGATGCTCCCAGCAAGAGTGCACAACTAAGCAGGCTCCATGCTTCTGGGGTTATGGCTTACGCGTGGCAGTTTTAAGGTGTGAAAACCGCTGGGTTGTTTGCCATTGATATGAGGGAGGGAGGACGGTGCATCATGGGATGCCGATGCACTGTTCCCATTCTCCCGTGCAACATTTTGGTCCCATGAGGCATTGCACAAAATTCCCAAAACACACTGTTGCAAGTTGCACTTTGGGATAGCTCCCCACAGTGCACTGCTTTGTGCATCGATGTAGGCGCTGCTAGTGAGGGCGCACTCCATCGGGACAATGAGCATGGTGTGGCCACACACAATTGACTTAATTCGGAGGCTTGAGGTTGAATTAGACAAAGTGACTTAAATTTTGTAGCGTAGACAAGCCCTAAGTTGAGTGAAGACTTGAATGAGTTCTTCACTTGTCAGCTGGCTCCTCAACTTTGGTCCCTTTGTAGGGAAAGGGATCCTTAAGCCACAGACAGAACTTTTTACTAAACAGCCTCCTTCGGATCCAAAATACGAAACTTATGAGCCTAAGCTTCTTGTTAGGAGAAATGCTTTATTTAATGACTAAGTAGTCATCATGAACTGGGTAGTTCAGTGGTGCTTGCCCAATTCTCATGTCTTTGTATAAATGGAACATTGCTGTGGTCTGAGTTTCAGCATTGTTGACAGAAATGGGAATCTCAGCTGCAGTGATTAAAAGCATACTTTTGGGCTTGACTATCTTCTGATCACATTTTAGAAATTTCCAAGAGAAGCTATGATGGGGATTTTGTTCTTTTTGATCATGTTTATTTTATGAGGTAATATTCTGGCATTAACATTTGTGCCAGTAGATTACATGCCAACTTATTCTGGTTCACTATATTAAAAAGAAATGGACAGGAGGAAGAAAAACTTGTTCTTGTATCATTTGTATCTTAATTAAAGCCCTACCACATTCTCTACCAGACATTGAAAACTTTAAGTCCAGTTTAAAGAAAAGCCCAGACATAAGAACCATTGTGCTTTCATTATGAGCATACTTTCTGTGTCTTGTGATTTTAATTTGTGAGAGTTGACAATATTGCTATTGGCTGGACTTGTTCTAAACAAAATCTTTTACCGTGATTTAGATGTTGTTACTGCCTAATATGTGTTCATTTTTTGACAGAAACTGAGAAGAATTGTGCAGGAGGATGTCAGGGGAGTATACTCCGATAACTGCTTTAAATAACTTTATTGACTTAACTTTTCTTGGCAGATACCATCACATTTTGCAAGTTCTAAATTTGAAAAATAAAACAAAACAAAACACTGATCAGCTAACCCTCATATATATTTAATGAATGATGTGTAGTTGTATAATGACTCCAGACATCTGCATAACACTGAATTTTTTTCAATGACTTTAGAACCTTTCTTAGGGCTTATACCCAGGCACATCCAGGAAAATTCATCCAGATAATTAAAGGTGTGATTTTAAAGTGGATTAGTTAAACTTCATTAAATCTCTTTGTGGGCGCTGTTATTCAGAATTAAAGTGGCCTTAATTCAATTTAGTTTAGTTAACTTCCAAACTGAATTAAGGCCATTGCAAGTTTTGAATGAAGAGGTTCTTGCAGGATTTTAATTTGGTTTAACTAGTCCACTTCATATTCACAATTTTAGCTAATTCAAATTAATTTTTCCTGGATGTCCCTGTGTAGACAAGCCATTAGTTAAACACTCTGTCTCTATTCAGTTATGTCCCTGCACATCTCTCCGCCTATCTGCCTATTTCTCTATCTCTGCCTAGTCTAAAGGCAGGTCTACACTAGGAACTTACATCTGTATAGCTACATCTCTCAGGGTATGAAAAATCCACACCCCTGAGAAACATACTAACCTAACTCCAGGATAGATAGCGGTAGAAGAATTCTTCTGTTGACCTAGCTACTGCCTCTTGGGGAGGTGGGTTACCTATGCCATCGGTGTAGGTAGTGTCTAAACTGAAGTGCTGTTGCAGTGCAGCTGCAGCATTAAAGTGTAGACATTGAGTATTTATACCACTCTGTCACTGCAGTATCTGAACACTTGTAAGGTATATTTCCTGTGCAGAATCTCTCGCTTATCTGGATAAACATCAGGGCCTCTGTTCCATTCTGATAAATGGATCATGTGATTGTTTCATGTCATCAACATCGTTTTGTTATGAATGTCATGCTGCCCTGCCTGTTGTCAGAGGAATGGTAAGTGCAGCCTGTTTAGCCCCCAAATGTACATACCTAGAAGTATGGTGCATCTTTCGCAGCATCTTTGGAGAGGACGACTATCATTTTTTCGTTCTCCAGTGATGCCGAAGGGAACCTGCTAACAGTGAGTGGAATATTTCATGTAAACCTTCCAATTGTTTTCAGTGTGCAAATTGCAAAAGCTGGATTACAGTGAAATCTCTGCTAATTGTGATGACTTAGGGGAGAGAAATTGTTAAGAACTGAGTTCTGTTTAATTATTTTTTAGGTTGCTGCATGCTCAAATATTTGCATTAAAATTATTAGCCTCTTAAAAACCTCTGTATATGCATTGGCTAGTGGTTTGAACAGAGCAAAGAGACCTGGATCCTGTTATTGGTTTTCCAGCTGACTTGTTGTGTGGCCTTGGGCAAGTTGCTTAACCTCTTCGTGCTCCAGTTTCACATCTGTAAAAAGGGAATAACGATACCTCCTCATCTTTGTGACGTACTTTGAGAGCTTAATATTAAAAGTGCGAAGTGGTACATTTTAAAATGTTATATCTATGAAAGGCACCCGCCAGGAATGGGATGAGGTTTATTTTACTTTAAGGAAGGTATGTTTTAGTGTCCCAACTAGTTGACAATCGCTTCTTGAAAGGTAACTACAGATTCGTAGGACCTAAGAATGTAACAAAACGAGACAATGAGCCTTCCTTGTGCTGCTCATAATGGCCCTTTTTGCCTATATACCACAATACTACATGAGGGTTGCCTGGCTATGATACAGAGCAGAACACATTCGCTGTATAGGCAGCTAAATAGTGGATTAAAATAGGTGGTAATTAATAGTTGGAATTTTTTGGGACATAAATTATACATTTTGTCTCATGGGTGTAGAGATTTTGTTCCCCTGGTGCTGGCATCTTTGTTGATTAATGATGCAGACTGGCTAACAGCCACTGGCACAGTTTACTTCTTTCCCTCCGCCCTTCTGTGTTCCTGTTTTTCCTTTGAGACCCTTGATTTGTTTTTGTAAACTGTTTTGAAACCTAGTTCCTGATCTGTTCTTTACACTCAACATAGCATGTAACTTTTTTTTTTAAGTATTGCCAATGGTAGAAGCAATTAAGATTCAGATTTGCACAGCAAAAATGTTCTGGAGTCGCCCTGACAGATTGTGTAGAAATGTAGGGAGTCTATCAGGGGAATACTGTACAATCTAGTAACAACAAAGAATGAATTCATTAACCTGAAAGCTGTAGGTAGGCATCTTTTCTTACTTTGGCTTTCCCGGCTTCAAGCACTCACTGGAGCGGAGACTAGCGCAGGGGCTTGGGGACGCTCTTGGCAGACACTCAGGGAGGACGTTTATAATTTATTTTTTCCACAGGGGACACCTATGAACCCTAAAGCCCTCCACATAGCCAGCATAGTGTTGTGTGTGAAAGATATTTCAATGTATCTAAACTGAGCTGCACAAAAATCCACAGTAAATGGTGTGTACATTTGTTTGAGGGCATAAATGAAGAATGGTGCATTGACCGTAATTTTGTATTTCTAGACTTCTTATCTTTCTTTTATTTAACACAGTTATTATATACTAGGTCTTTTCTATAAATATTTAGCTGGGTCATTGAGAATGAGCAGAAGTATCAATTTACATTTGCAGTGTAATTCAAAAGGGGGTAAATGTGTCTAAAATGTATTTCATGTAGGCCCCAGTCCAGCAAACAAGCCTATAAACTTTGATGGGATATATTTGACATTAAGAACGTGTTTAAATGCTTTGCTGGATCAGACTCAGACTGAATTTTAAATGTGCTATTGTGACTTTTAAATATGTAGTTCTTAGAGCCTGGTATGGACATTTCGAGGTCTCTTCTTTCTACACATGCATTACTCCTGTTACTGTCAGTGGGAATTGTGCGTGTAAAATAATTAAAATACATAGCCCTGAGTAGTGGTGTTTAACCTTCAAAGCAGTTTACAAATATTGACAACTGAATTCTCACAATAGCCGTTTCATGTCACGAGCTAGCCTTTCTGTTTTACAGATAGGGCAACTGAGTCAGGTAGATTAAATGACTTGTCCAAGTCCACAGATCGTGTTTGAGCTGGAGTGAGCATGCAGGATATCCTGGTTCCCTATCCTTGTGCTCATACCTATCCCTAGACTATAGACTATCCCTAGTTTATTTAAATTGCTTGTGTATGTCAACATTATTTGAAATCTTGATCACTGACTTTCTTCAGTAACAGTTTTCCTTTTGAACGTAGTTAGCCAAGATATGCTGCAGAAACTGAACATTCTGTATCCTAATGTATGTGTGTTTGGCTGGTACAGACACTTAAAATATTCCATATATGGTCAATTGTAAAATATAGTTCAACTAATCATCCATTCTGGAGTCTCAGAAGATTCAAATGCGTGGAACAGACGAGCATGTGGATATTTGGGACTAATTGGATTAATGCTAACCCATGAAAATGATTGTGAACACTTGCCAGGGGAATGCTTTTTAGAGCATGTCTCTCCTGTGTTTAGGAATGTTATGTGTGGAAAACTTCCATTGAATTAAGTAATTCTATCAAGATCATCAGCAATTGGTTTCTGGATTCTTGCAGTGAGGTTTGCTTTAGCTTATATGCTCTTCCTCCCCCCCCCCCCCCTTTTAGACAAATAGGCATAACCTGAAAGCATTCCAACAAATACAAAGTTCAGTCTGTTATTTACAGGAACTCTTCCTTGATTCTTAATAAGCAAGTCCCTAAAGAGGATCTAACCATGTACTTGGCAATCTAATTGAAATGTATTTCGACAAACCTTTGCTTAGAATGACGATTGATTAAACCGCAAGACATAGCAGTCAGCATAGTGGAGCTGGGTAATACAAGTCCTTGAAAGTAAGAGCCAAAGCCTCCTGTGTATCCAAGGATGCATTAATTTTACTGAATACACAGCCTGGCTAGCTTTAGTGCCATTTGAACACAGACACTTTGCTAAACTCAAAGGGTTAGTGGTACTTTAAGGTTATTTTTTTAAATGGTTACTGTGTTAAACAGTAATAAATCAAATTTTACTGAAACTTTTGGGGGCAAATTATCCTGATTTATACCCTGTAAAAGTCATGGCAGAAATTGACCAGTTTTCTTGTTTACGGTTTCCAATATATTTTTATGCTTCATGACTGAATATCTGTGTTCTGATGTATTTTTCTATAATGCATCCTTCCCAGTGCTTTTAGCATGCACTTTTTATTAAAAAAACCTTTCCAGTTCCAGTGTTTGTATTTCATAACTTATTTCCCCACTCTAGTTATGAATGACAATTTCAGTGAGATACTGCTCCCCTCCTCCCCCCTTCCAGTTTTCCAGCTTTAAGAGGCATAAGGAGATCAAGTGACTAGCCTGAGGACACACATGGAGGTAATGACTGTGACTGGATTCTTCCTTGTTCCCTGCTCTTTGTTCTAACCTCTAAATCATACATATGTAGTCTACTTAAATGCTCTAGTTTAGAAAGTTTATCTTGTATGCAGGAGTTTCAATATCTACAGTGAGAGCCAGAATACACCTTAATTAAAAAAAATCCTTGGAAGTTATCGGTTGGCAGTTGCTATAGAAACACTGAAGAGGTGTCCTTGAGTCAAACAGTGTCATCTTATTTCTGTTGCGTCTCCCTTTATTTCACCACTCTCCTTTTACTCCCCATAGAGCATTAGTAATTTTTTAAAAGTAACATCAGTTTACACATAAGCGAGTTCATAGTTTTTGCAGGTTGTTTTTAGTAACGTAAAGAAGTTAGGCCAAGGATGCCCATACTTTGGGATTCTGAGGGGCTTACTGGTGGACTTGCCAGATCCTGAGGACTACATCATATGTGTGTGTCTCTTCCTGTTGTTGTTCATCTTAAATTAGGACTTGATTCTATAAACATGGTGGCAGGTCATGATCTTTTGGCCTCAGTCAGCAATAGTGGTCAACGAGGCACATTCTTCCCCCAGCTTTATCTTCACAGGTCACCCTGGCTTATGGATGACCTGGGGAAAATGACGTGATAGGGAAGACAGATGCACTGGTGGTGAAAGTCTCATGCCAAAGCTGATAGTTTGCATCATTCAGACTTTTTGAATTCTCATGCTGTGGTAGTGCCGGAGGCAAAGAAATGTTTGTCTCCATCATAGCATCTGTGAAGTCTGTCGGTGGATCTGTTCCTGGTGGTGGATAGCTTGGCTAATCTGGGTTGTCTGCACCTGGTTGCCAATGTGAGTCTCTTCTGTTGTAAGGTTTCAGAGTAGCAGCTGTGTCAGTCTGTATCTGCAAAAATAAAAGGAGGACTTGTGGCACCTTAGAGACTAACAAATTTATTTGAGCATAAGCTTTCGTGAGCTACAGCTTACTTCATCAGATGCATTCAGTAGAAAGGTAGTGCAGGTTAGTTTTGGGGGTGAAATGGATCAGATTTAGACTGAACTATGTCCATGGAGGCAGGGTTTCCCCTGCTTGAGTTTCAGCCAAGGTCGCTTAGAGTTTGTGGATGTGTTGGAAGAACTTCATGCCATATCCTGTGCTTAGGATCCTTGTGCTTCCTGGGTGGCAAAGCTCAGTGCAGAAGTACTGGGTCATACAACTGATCATCAGCCAGAAAGGGCAATGATACAAAACACAGAATATAGCATGAAGTTCTCCCAACACATCCAGAGCCTCTGTGAGCTAGTGCCCGGGACACTTTGGACACAGGTGGCTTTAAGTAATCACTGGAAGTACTGAGCCTTGTAGTTATGCTGATCTATATAGTTACTTACAGCTTCAAAAAAGAATAAATTTTTGTAATGCTTTTTAGATTGTCCCTTGCACTATAGAGGAGATCTAAGATGGCTTTAAATTTTCTAATTGTTTAACATTTTTAAAAACAAACCCTCAAGGTTGTTTCATTTTTCTTTCTGTGAATGAGCTGAGTCTGATCTGGGAATTCTATTTATTTATTTTATATACAGATCTTCAGATGGATGTTACTTTCCAGGACAAGAATTTTTGGTCATTTTACTTTCACAGGTTTAGTATGAGTTTACAGATAGTGCTTTTATAAGGATTTTTATTTTGTCATGTTTTACATTTTGTCAGCAAGATGTTGTCTCTATGCATTATAATCCTGAATGCCTTTGAAAAACTAATCCTAGATACTGATTGAAAGTTGGAGATATTCAGTGTCTGCAAATGTGTGGGGTTGTTTTTACATTTTAAATAAGTTTGTGAATAATGTTAATTTAATATTGTGGATATTGTAGCACTTTGTCTTATTATGTATTTTCAATTCCATGTAAACTATGTAATCTATGTATTTCATTTAATGTGTAAAAGAAAAAAAATTATGTATAGTCTGTTGTGAAATAAAATATATTAACTTGTTTTTTTATAATCTGAACAAATATAGATGTGCACAAAAGCCTCTCAACCAAAATCTGATTTCAGAAAGTTTTGAACAAAGTATTAATCTATTGGATTTTATCTACAGTAGAGACAGAAATGGCCTTGCCACACACTAACTAAAACATTAAAGGTATTCATAGGATAGGTAGGGTTTTTCTTTGACTTAATGGATCCAGTGCTGCTCCTGTTGTCGTCTTTCTGGATATGTGTTTGGTTTGAGCTCTGGTATCTTGGGGGGGGGGGGGGGAAATCAATGGCTGAAGTCATAGCCTTGGAACTCTGCCCCACTACTCACTACTACCTCCTGAAATATTGTTGAGCATCATGACTAATTGACATCAATGGCCTGCTTTCCTCTCTTTGGTATGCCCATGTTGGGGCTGTTGTGCATGAGAGATGCTTCCCTTGCTCTGTTATTGCAGTGCTTCCTTCCCCAGCTTATCAAGTGGAGTGGATGGAACCTAGGGTCCTCTGTGTAACAGACGATTGATTATGGGTGAGAAGTAAGACACTACACAACCCGTTCAAACTTACTTAGGTGGTGGCGATTCCCACTAGAAGGATTAATGCAGTGTTTACAGTCTCACTTTGTGGTGGAAAGAGTTTGCCCTTGTTTCAATTAGACATTTACAAATCCCTCCCCACCACCTCATTCAAATTCAGTTGATAGTTCTTTTCCTACCTAGCCACTTGCAGCTCTTGCCACATGCTATACAACGCTAAAACTAGGAGCAAGAAGCTTAATGGTAGTTGCTGAGCTGCATGTGCTCAATAAGTCAAATGCAGCTCAATTCATTTAACCGGAATTTACCAAAAACTCCACACCCCATGCACAACCAGCCCAACAAGCACCGCTCACGTCTGTGGTGAGAGCTGGACGGTTTCAGACCCAAAGGTGAAAGTTAGAGCCTTTGTCAATGAAAGGCAGTTGGGGAGGGAGGGAGGAAACTGTTTTTGTTTGAATAGAAGTAATCTTAACTATTTTTCTCCCTGAGGCAAGCACCATAAATAAAACATGCCTCCTAAGCATTCATCGGGCTGCCCAGTCTGGAAAATGCCAATGTTCTGATTTAAAGGCTAAGCAGCTGTGGGAGTAAGGCCAGTTGCAGACTGTAAGGGGAGCAGGGATGCCATTTCTGATGGTTTTGGAAAGAGAAAAATGTGAGCTTTGCTCCTGCAGAGAGGTCAAATTCTGAGTGTGGGTCTCTTCCCTCATTCATACACTATGTAACACATGTAGAATAGCATCAGAGGGGTAGCCGTGTTAGTCTGGATCTGTAAAAGCAGCAGAGTCCTGTGGCACCTAATAGACTAACGGACGTATTGGAGCATAAGCTTTTGTGGGTGAATACCCACTTTATCGGCTGCGTGTAGAATAGTGAGAGGTAGGTCTCTTGACGTTATCACATTACAAGTCAGACACAAGCCTGGGGTCACCTCAGTATTATCGCAGCAACAGGCTGTTCATGATGCAGCAGCCAGGATCATCCTTTCCCACTTCCCTGACCATGTCTTTTCTTACTTGAATCTGCAGTGGCTTTTTTCTCCCGTCTGCATGAGTCAAGCTTCTCCTTGTCTACATTCATTTTCTCCATCTGCCCTCCCTTATCTGTGACACCCACTTCTGCTTTCTTTCATGTGATCCTTGGAGAAATTTCCCATTAATGTTCATAAAGCAGCCCTCCTTTCCTTAGTTCAGCAATCCTTTTTTAAAAACAAAAAACAAAAAAAATCAAATGTGTTTCCTGAAGTGTAACAGCAGTTCTCAGAACATGGTCTTCTGGGGTCTTTCATGCTGGCCTGCAGAATGAAACATTTTGAGAATCATACATTGTGGTACTGGATTGGTGGGAGAGGGACGTGGCCTATGATGGGATCTTTCTCTTATAAAATGGCCAGCAGTGTGAAAAATGGTAATACCCTTTCAATAGCTGTTTGTTCATTCTGTACTGTATTTCACCCACTTGTGATTTTAGACTGTAAGCTCTTGGGATAAAGACTGGTTATTTGCTTGGCACAGTCCATCCAAACTGCAGTGCAGCATACCCTTCTGCAGCTGTTGGAGTAAGTTACTTATGTCAAAAATGAATATTCTTTTAATGAAAGTAATCATTTATAGGCGTGTGTGAGAGACAGAGAGAAAATTTGGTACTAGTGAAAAGTGTGATGGCTTTGGAGACTGAAGCACATTTATTCAAAGAACAGATACCAAACTGGCAGCCTTTACCTGGAGCAATCACTATTAAATGTTGGATGAGGGAAGTAATTTTGTCTCCAGGGTCTGTTCATGTCTGGTGAGATGGTCAGCAAGGAGGCTGATTAGCCCCAGCTATGTACATGGCTTTCATAAGGGGGACACCTTGTCCAATAGGAAAGAGAGAAAACTTAATGTATGTTAAAGAAACAAATCTGGCATCAATTGAAGCTACTACTTTCCTGATTTTTTTTTTCTCATCACTTACTTGGTTTTGCAGATAGTTGAAAAGTAGAGAGAGCAGGAACTCAGCATTGTTGGTTATATTGTCAAGATTCTGATATCAGTGTGGGCTTTAATTTTGGCTTCTTTGTGGAGCAACAGAACATGTATTTTTACCATCCATTCCATTAGCTAAATTTCACTTAATATTGTAAAATATTATTTGAGTGGTTTTCTTTCATAAGCTCTGCAAGGCTTAAATCTATTAGCAGTTGTCATGTTTTATATCCTTTTGTCTTCTACAGTTTTATACAGTAGAACCTCTGAGTTACGAACACCAGAGTTACAAACTGACCAGTTAACCACATGCATCATTTGGAACTGGAAATATGCAATCAGGCAGCAGCAGAGACACCTCCCCCCCACTCCCACCCCGAAAAAAAAGCAAATACAGTACAGCACTGTGTTAAACAAACTACAAAAGAAGAGAGAGCACCATTTTTCTTCTCCATAGTAAAGTTTAAAAACTGTATTAAGTTGATGTTCAGTTTTAAACTTTTAAAAGACCAACTATGTTTTGTTCAGAATTATGAACATTTCAGAGTTATGAGCAACCTCCATTCCTGATGTGTTTACTGGTGACCCCTTTCACCTAGACAGCCTCTGAGTGTGACACCCCCCCCTTCATAAATTAAAAACATGTTTTTACGTATTTAACACCATTATAAATGCTGGAGGTAAAGCGGGGTTTGGGGTGGAGGCTATCAGCTCACAAACCCCCCCCAATAGACTTCTGAACCCCTGTACTATACACTTCTGAACCCCTGTACTATACACTCCTTAACTGGTGGGCTTATGCTTTTAATAGTTTAAATTACTTTAACTATGCTGCCTGACTATACTGTAGAAAATAACCCTAAGTTCAAATTGCACATGAACATTCTTTAGAATTACAATAACAATCTTACAGACTGTTACAGCCCTTTATTTCTGTCCTGGTATAGCATATGCAGCAGAAACAGTAGTGACTGACCTCAGACTTGAAAAGCGCTGTAATAACGCGCTCACTCTGGTAAATCGGATATTTGTGATGTGAGCATTTATGTCCACACATTGCAGCTCGGAAACAGTCAGCAACCATGAGGCTTTGTCAATGGAAGGGTCAATATTCCGCATGATCTGCTTGGTAACAGTGCTAAACACATCCTCTTTTATAGCCCCGATGAGCTATTGTGGCAGTCCTCTTCGTTAGCTCATTTGCCAACATTCCTTATTTTAAGGGCTATTACAGATCTAAATGAAACTGTCTCCATATCTGGCACATCAATGAAATGTCTCGGGGATTGTTGGCGCTCTTAGGAGGGGACAGATGCATCACACTATGGTGACATACATTGTGAAACAGCAATTCTTTGGGGCACCTGGAAACCACCCTGTGCCCCCTGAAGGAGTAAGACTTGAGTAATAGCCTCATCCTTGACAACACCACGCCCATCACAATCGGACTCTAGGCCAGCCATTCTCAAACTGCTGCAGGACCCTCACGTGGATGGCAACCATGGGGTCACCAGGGCTAGCATTGCATGCTTGGGAGCTGGGGCTGAAACCTGAGCTCCACTCCCACCCGGGGCAGCGGGTCTCAGGCTCCAGTCCCCTCTGCCCCCACCCGGGCTCATGTCGTAATGGTGTTGGCCAAAGGAGGTCATGGTGCCACCACTGACCTAGGCAGCCCCGGACCCGGCTGGCTGCAACTTGCCAGTGACAGGGCTCTGCAAGCAGGGCCAGTCCTGCAGGTCCAAAATGTGTGGGGGGGGAGGGCTTAACCCTCCCCCCAGCTAGGGACAGGGCCTGCTACCCCGATTGCCTCCCCCCCATTCTCTCTCCCTCAGCCACTGCCCCAGGTGCTCCGCCCACTCTCCTTAGCCTCGGGCCCCGCCCCGCCGGAGCTACCCGGAAGTGACGGCGCCGCCGCACGCACGCGCACGCGCGCTGACGCAGCGGCAGGGGCTCTGCCGAGCTGGCCTGAGCTGAGGCGCGTCGCGTTCGCAGGCGGCGCAGTTGGAGGGGCCGGAGCGGGGCTGAGACGCAGGTGGGGCGGCCCCCCCCCGCGGCGGGAGCCGGGTGCCTCCTCCCGGCCGGGGCGAGCGTGGCGGCGCGGGGCCTTGCCAGCCCCCGGGGCGGGGGGGAGCGGGGCCGTCCTGCCTCTTGCTGGGGGCGTCGGGGGGCGTCAGGGCAGCGCTGAGCCGGTCCTGACCCAGTTACCGGGGGGGGCGGGTTCTCATCCCCCGACCCCGTAGGGCGGCCCCTTCTTTTCCCCCTTCCCCTCCCCCGCCGCGAACACGGGTGTTTCCCCAGGGCCGTGTCAGGAGCTCGCCCTGATCCCCCCCCCTGGCGAGCCCCTCCTAGCCCGGCCCGGAGCGGGGTCAGGCAGGCGGGAGGGAAGGGCCGTAGACCTAGGGGTGGGGTGGGGCTGTGCTAGGAGTCCCTGGGGTAAAGGGCCCCCAGGGGCTGCCCGCTCCAGCCCCACCCCCCGCGCAGAGAGGCTGCGCTCTGAGCCGGTGAGCGTAGGACAG